TTTCTTAGTTCCTGACATTGCTGGACAAATGCTCACATGAAGAAATGTATGAACTGGCTGATCATCAGTATAACTAGCAGCCATTGTTTCAGTTTACAAAATTGAAAAATGTGGGCAATTAGGGGCAATAATTAAGTAGAACAAATTTTCTCCTTCCTTAGTGCTATTAGGAGACATGTTTCTCAAATAAATCCTTGGCTTGGGGATAGACCGTGGGGATGATAGTCCTCGGGTTATATCGGCAATTGGGACTGGGCGCTCAGGAGCCAGGCGTCTGAGCACCCATATCGCAAGGGTGCTGTGATGGCTGGAAGTTCAAGGATTGGTCATACTTCCATTTTTGCAGCACCACTGTAACTTTGAACAGTCGCTGAATGAATGGACATAAGCTGAGAACTACTTGTAGTTTCTCCAGGCTAGTATTCTTGTCTTCCTCATGCCAATCGTTTTCAATGAATGTTGCCACATAGTCTATGCAGGTAGTTCTAACTGGTTTTATGTATATCCTACAAATATTACATGCTTATTACATGCTTCCTCTGAAGGTAAATGTTAAAAATAGAAGGGATAATAAATAAAAATAATATTCCTAAACAGGATATGATGATATGGATGGTGCCCAGCTTCTCTCTTCATTTCAATAAGGTGAAATATTCAGTTTTAAAAGGTTTAACAATTTATATTCTCCGTAATTTTCCTCTATTTATTACAGGTGATTAAGGTCAGACAAATTTAAGCACTGAGCAGTAGTTTTGGATACAAAAAATAAAATAGAAATTTTGTGCAAAGTTTGCCAAATACTCTGTACTATTTTTTCTTTCAGAATTGGAAACTCAGAGAAGAATATTTGCATGGACTTGAAAAAGAAGCTAGAAACTGTGCCAGCTGATACTACAAGCCTGGGTTCCAAACAAAACGGAAGTCACAGAAGAGTGCTTTACTTTGACAGCACCCAAGCATCACAGAAAGAAAAGAATGAGAATTCTCTAATCTGTGAAAGCTCTCCTAGTACCGTGCTTTCATCAACAAAAACTCAACCTTGCAAGAGAGAACGTGAAAGAACTCTGCCAAGAATTTTATGTAAGCCAGATATTACTGGCAAAAATTTGGTTGTAAAGGAAAGCCAACTAGAGAAAAAAGGTTTGGGTCCAGGACTAGCATCGGATGTATTAAGAAAACAGACAGCAAATAAAGAGAATGAACTAGAAAGGAACGTTGATGAAGTCCCCCAAACTCAGGAGGTGGCAGCCTTATCCAACAGCCAACAAAGTCTTCATCATGAGAAGAACTGTTCTTCAGCTCAGGAAATAACTAAAAAACAGGGGCTTCAGCCCAATGCCAATAATAAAAATGCAGGCATTTTGCCCTCAAAGGAGCCTAAAAAAGAGCAAACTAAATCTCCCAATCAAGTCCATAGCTTGACCAGTCCTTTAACTAAGCAAGCTGTGGAAATGCTGTATGATATTCAAAGACATAGCCCCACTAGTAAACTACCTGAAAACGGGGAACTGCCAGTACCCCGTACACCTTCAGGTACTAGTGATAGACACTCAGATGATACCTTTGATATAATAAGGACCCCAACCTGTAGACGGTATAGTGAAGATAGTACAACACCAAGGATCATGGTTCCTCCAGCCACTCCTGATTTGCCAGCTTGTAGCCCAGCAAGTGAAACAGGTAGTGAAAACAGTGTTAGCATGGCTGCCCACACTTTGATGATACTTTCACGGGCTGCTATTGCAAGGACTAATACAACTACTCCTCTTAAGGACAATACTCAACAGTTTAAGTCTCTAAGAAGTGCAGCAAAAAAAAGAAAGCAGGAAGACTCGGTTGACTGTGAAAGGAATTCCCGGACTACCAGTAAAAAGGATGTTCAGAACTTTACAGTGCCCATAAAGAAGAAGAAGATAAAGGTAAGCAGGTTTCTTATTTAACAGCATGACATTATTTCTGTACCAGCAGAGGTCCACATACAGAAGAGCAATAGCAGTTAATCCCTGCTATTTGTGTGTATGCTATTCCCTTTGTGTGCGCGCGCAGGCCTTCGAGTCATTGCTGACTCCTGGCGATGGCCTGGACTAGTCCCTGCAGTTTTTTTGGCAAGATTTCAGAAATGATTTGCCCTTGCTTCCTTCCTACGGCTGAGAGGGAGGGACTGGCTCAAGATCACCCAGCTGGCTTCGTGCCTAAGGCAGGAGTAGAACTCATGGTCTTCTGGTTTTAAGCCTGATGCCTTAACCTCTGCACCAAACTGGCTGAGTTAATCCCTGAATAACCCATAATGGGAAACATCCCTTCCCAATGTATTCTACAATATGGACAAGAAACATCTTCCCTGTAATTCACTTGGGGAGGAAAATCCTCCTTTGTTTATGACCTACACCCTTTTTCTTTCCCGTCCAGTAAGATAGGCCCTCTCCAGGATAACTAAGACAGAACTAAAAGTACCTCCCTGCTAAAAGAAATAAAATGAGAAAATATCAATAATTGTTGATATAAAGTAAATGGTTCATTATAGTAACATTCTATATCATCTCTTGATATGGAATACCTGTTGACTAAAATGGCTCAGTGCTTATGAAACAGGACTGAATCTTAAAGAACTGTACAACTAGTTTAGGATACCTAAGGGATCCTGCTGTTTATCTCCTGTGAAGAATAGTTCCCTGTGCTACTTGGCATACATCTTATGGAGTTGCAGAAGTTAAAAAATAGGGCATGAGGCAGTCTGATGCTCTTGCACATAGCCAAGGTTGGAGCTGGGAGTCTAAATGATCTATTCCAGCTGATTAACCTATGGAAATTTTAGCCATAAATCAATATTGATTTATATATAAGAGTCATGTAGAACTAAAGAGTTTCTAAGTACCTAGCCTTCATTGGTCTTAAAAGAGTGTTTTCTTTTTCAGCAGAAGAAATTACCAATTGCCTTTCCTGCAGAAATGGATGTGGATAAATTTTTATTATCGTTGCATTATGATGAATAAATGCCAGCTGTATTTAAGCACAGGTGTTCTTCAGCAGGATTGAGAAGAAAAGAGAACAAATTTAGGATTATATTGCATAGTCCATTACAATTCCACTTCTGAAAAGAAAATCAGCCTGAATCTGAGGAAATCTGAGAAAAATCTGTTTTTGAGTGAACATTTAAAGGTTCTACGTTAAGTTTGCAGAGTTTATATTGTGATGTAATTATTGTACAGTTTTTCAAGTTGTAAAACAACAAAATGCTACTTTTATTAACACCAGGTGTTGGCTGTGTTCTTCTAGAATTGTTTTAGTTGGTTTTCATGGTGTCAAACACCTCTTATCTTAAACATGCCTAGAACTAAATGCACTGAATTGTGGTCTCTGCTTTCAGATTAATGTGCCTAGGATTGTACCCCAGGGTTTAATCAAAACAAACGTCATATAGTTGGCTTTAATTGAGAATAATGACTTACTGTATATACTTGTGGATAATCCAAGAATTTTAGGTGCCAAAACACCCCTCCCCCAAAATTGGGTTTGATTTATCCACAGATGGGCTTATCCATGAGTATATATGGTAATGCTTTTTTAAAGTATCTGTATTTTCTATATATACTCACATATAAGCCCATCCACGGATAAGCCAACCCTCAAATTTTTAACCAAAATACCATGAAAAATGGGGGTTGGCTTATCCATGGATAGTGTATTTTTCATGGTATTTTGGTTAAAAATTTGAGGGTTAGTTTATCCACAAATGGGCTGATATGCAAGTATACGCGATAATGCTTGGTCCATAAGAGATAGCCTCAGCTGATTTCATATTGAGAATATTTTCTTGTTTCCTTTTGTCTGGTTTTTTTTTCCTTTAGATGTAGTCTATCATAATAAATATTTTTCAACTTTATTATACATAGGTATATTAAGAGGTTACTTATTTACCCATAAATAAAATTTACTTAGGGATGTGTTTTATGCCTTTAGGGATTCAGATTTAACTTTGATAAACCCTTGCTTAACTTGTTTAAGCAAGTGAATATTTAAATATATATCCTGAGGATGTTATATCATTTGCAGTAGTGGGCATCCCACACAATTAGAACGGCATGAATGAGAAAGCAGGCTGCTCTATCAGTATGATCTCTTCTTGGTGCTTGCTGCACAGCCCTCCACATGGTGTGTTGCAAGAGAAGCAGCTTTGTACTGGAAATCTTTCTACTCAGTAAGTTTCTCATATAATTTAGAATCCTCATTTCCCTGGTTCTAAATTCTCAGGTGTGTGCATACAGATAGAAAAGGGCTTTTTTTTTAAGCCTTCAGTGTATGAAGAGGGTAACAGCAGTAATGACTTTGCCTTCAAGTAAAACTGCACAAGAATATTGTAACTGTAAATCAAAGTTTCATTTTGCCTTATATTTCCGGTACTTAAAATTATCCATTCTTCTACCAGAACAGATGTTTAAACAAGACTCTACCAAGTATTCAACAACAGCATTCCAGCCATTTAAAAACTAAGTCTGTGTACTTCCACACATGAAAGTACTATAATTCTTAGGAGGTTTTAGAGAAGCAGTACAAAGACCCTGTTTCATGTACCACAGTGGACAGCATGCTGTCTTCAACCTAATTTTAAAAGATAACTTACAGCTTAAATATCACACTGCAGAGAGTTACCCATGCTTATGCTATACAGGGAAATGCAATCCTTTCACTGGAAAGAATATTGTTGTAGCTGCTTAAAATTGAATCCTTGCTTTTGTTATCTTCCTTAATATTTCCTAGATCAGTGTCACACATCTTAAAGTTCCCAAGATTGAGAAACAATGTCTTAGACTGAAACAACTACAGTACGAGGATGAATAACAGAATGACTGAAGTAGCTATGTAACAGCTCATTGCTGTGTTATTTTTTTTATGGGCAATCCTGTATAAATCAGATTGGAGCTGCGCTGTGCAGAAACTCTCTATGGATATAAGCCCTTAACTCCTCTTTTAACTCTTGCTTACAGTTCAGTTGCCATCCAACTACCTGGAATTATTTTTTCTTGAACATGATTTTGCTATTACAAGTTAAAAGGCTTTCCTTTACACTTTTCTCAGTTACAAATATAAGCAAGTACATATGGGTAAGCTTTCAGAAGAGCTGCAATACTGAAAGAGTTGGAAAAGACTGTTTTTCAGATTTCCAGTTATACTATAACCTCAGAATGCTTATTTTTAAAAGCTTGACTCTTGAATAACACAAGTTGCAATTGGTCTTAGTCCTCCTTGTACCAGTATAAGAAGCAATTCATTATTGCTGTATGGTAAATATTTATTCAGTAGCCCTTCCTGTTTATTTTTACCAATTGTGGAAACATAATCCAGTGGTTACTTCTGTACTATCTCTACCCAAGTAGTTATTTTCTGGGCAAAAATACGCATGGCACAACCCATTGCCCTCATCTTGGAAGGGTAAGGGAGAAGGGGGAAAGAATGCCTACAACTCACTGCCTAGAGCAGGACAATATAAAGTATGACAAGAAGTATCTAGAGTAGTCAGTTATGGCATCTACAGCTTCAGAAGATATTTAACGTGTTTTCAGTCCAAGATATAAAAATCATTTTGCATTAAAACACGCTATAATAAAAAGACATAATTTTGTTTAAACAATGGTAGACTGAAGTTAATGGTCTGTGCTATAAATCATACATAGTTGTAACAGCTATTAATAATTTGGGCCTTAGAGCTTGAGGCTAGAACCTATAACTTCTGGATCAATATTGCAGATGCTCCACCACCACCATTGCAAATTCCAGCAAGGCCATGTTCTCCTTGCTTCAGTGCATGAGTCATGTGAACAACAATTCTTGCACCAGACATCCTGAAACAGGAAAAAAAAAGTTTCAAGTCAGATCATAGTCTTTGCTTAGCTTTTTCATAAACAAGTGGTATCCAGTTTAAATGTGTACTTCACACAGTGAGTTTAATTCAGTTACAGTTTCACTATCTTTCTTTCAAAAAAGCATTAACAGTGTACTGTTGAGCCCCAGGAGGAGGAGATGGGATATAGGTACAGTATATCAAAAGGAAAAGGGGGGGGGAATAGATTACCATGCTAAAATTGGTAAGTCAGAGTTGCAGAATGACAGGGCATAGATGCCCTAAAATAAAACTCTTTTGTACTGAGTGAGATCACTGGTTTACCTAATGCAGAACTGAACAGTCTGAGTAACAGTAATTCTCAGATGACTCATATATATACTGCCCATGTTCCAAACCTAATGTACTGGAGCAAGGATGAAGAACCTACAGCCACTGAATACTAGACTCCCATTATCATCCCAAGCAGCAAGTTCAATGACCTTAAGATCCTCAAAGGTATAGTCTAAAAATCTCTGGAAGATCACAGGTTCCCTGCTCCTACAAATACCATTCAACTGCTTGTCTAATGTTCACAATATTCTACTAACTTTCCCAACTAAATACTATTACAATGAATTGTAATTCCAATACAACTGGAAAGCACTAGGCTAACAAACTATCCTCCTATTTTCAGAATATTAGAACCTTAATCGTTCATACACTTGCTAATGCATTTCCTCCTGTAAATACCACAGAACCCTACTTCAACATGCTTTGAAACAGGATTCATAGCATAATACATTTTAGGCTTATGCAGCCTGGTGTTGTCCGGCCTTTCTGGATTACATCTCCCATAATTACTTGTTACTGGACACTGCTGATGGGGGCAGCTGCAAATTAAATTTAGAGACATTTGGAGGCACCAGGTTGCCTAATCTCTAAAATAAGTTTAAATCTGAATAATAGTTCGTGAATGTTTTCTATACAGCATTTTGCAATATGCCAAGTACAAGTGCTTAAAATAAGTTGTGTTTCAAATATTGCTCAGAGATAAATTCAGCATAAGAAATTGTGCCAATTGTCAGTTATATAAATACGTTACAAGGCTCCCGAGAGAAACAAATTCTATCAAATTGTCGCAGGAATAGGCAGCTTTTGAAAGGCAGGGGACCTCAGCTCAGCATGCTAACCTCCTAGAGGCCAGCAGAAAAGTAACCTGTGACATGGCAACATTCCCAGAAAGATTAGGCTGGACTTCCTCATTTTTTCTTTCTTTTTTTTCTGGGTTTCTAAGAATAGAAATGGGAGGGATGCTACTTTAGTTTCCACCATTTAATTTCCAAAATTAGTAAAATCATATTTCTCAGCCACTTGAGAGCTGAAAGTGGCAATGGAAATCGTTCTCACTACCTTTTCAACACATAAAACCTTCCATAAAAGAAAATGAGGGAACAGTTAGGAGTGGGGATTGGGGCGGGGGGGGGGGGATTGGAGGAGGAG